GAGCAACAAACGACTTGTTTTAATAAATTTAAGAAATTAATGTGTCAGAGCATTATATAGTAATGGTGTAGTGTGAATAATATTGATAAATATCATAATTGCAACCGCATCTATATTACCTTATCGCGTTACATTGATAAGGGTATTTTTCTGCGGTAGGACATTTTTTACGATTTCTTTCATATCTTCAGAAACCGCAAAAAACCGCAGCTGATTTTTATAAAATTTTGATAATGAATACTTACGCCTATGAAATAATACAAAATTCGAAACTTCAGCAAGCTTCGCTAACAGTCAAAACCTTTGATGAATTTGATAAAGATAGGTTAATGTCTCCATTTTTAATTATGATTTATTTTCTGTATATATGACATAACAAATTTGAAAAATACCAACTATATTTGACATTTACGTAAGGTGTGCTTTATAGAAATATATAATAACACATAGCTTATCTAACAAAATCAATACGAAATACGACGTCGTAAGTTCCAAAATTATAGGGCACAACGAGATGAGGCCGGGAAAGGACATTTTTTATGTATTTTTATTAAATCAACATACCTATCTAAAATAAAAAATCTTCAGTATAATCATTGACTTACAATTACATGGACGTCGGGTCCGCGCTAAAAAGTGTCCGCACTTGTAAGGCGCTAAAATCGTATACAGAGCGCGACACTCCGCTTTAGTCTTCATTTGTTCTACGGACAGCGCGATACTGCGATGACAACAATTTAAATTTCGAATAGGTTGACTTGGGACATTTTTTTCGTGGTTTTTGTATTAGACCCGTCGTCCATTTATTTGTAAGTCAATGAGTATAATAAAGTATGACATCTAAACTGTCAAATAAAATTAAATGTGTATTTCAATTAAGACATTGGTCAAAACCATTTTTGATATATCGTTGTTCTATTTCCCATAGTGCGGTGGTGGTTGATGACGGAGTTCACAGCAAATGTTGCAATACGAGTACATTCCACTTTTTGTTCAATAACTCCTACTAGGAGAGTAGAGGTAACCGAACGGGATAACTATTGCTTTTCAAATGTCTCATTTGGCCAACAATTCGAATCTCTGTGGTGGTATTGATATGACTTGATGAATAGGAAATGAAACTATTTTTAACCGACCTCCAAAAAAGTCAAGTTCTCAATTCAACTGGATGTTTTTATTATATGTTATGCGATTACTTCGATTTTTAGCGGTTTTCTGTGATTCTTTTTTTAATAAAGAATATTCCAAACACAAATTCAAAGCACTTTACTGGCAACACCTACTCTCGTCACAAAAACTGTCCAATTTGTTGAAATTTTAATGTTAATATTAGTTTTCATATCCAATGTACTCGTCTTCGTAGCCTTACTAAATATACATTTTTTTTACTTTGATTTATTACACTACAACATATGCACATAACTTCCGAACATAATCTTCACTTACAGTTACATTTATATGTATATTCAAATTCGCACATGCACGTACGTATTGAATAGGTTATTTTAGATGCCCTATTCATACTTTATTACATTTATCATAGATTTTTCATTACAAAGAACTTCTAGATTTAGTACCTCTCGTTGGTTCTGACTGAAAACGAGCGCCTTAGGGAACTTACTTACTATGTGCTGAGTCTGTTGTTTGTTCTGAATGTTTTGTTTGAATATGTATTTTTGTCTGTTTATCTATCTTTCAAATTACGTAAATTAAAAGGAAATTGAAATAAATTAAACATTCAGCGCAAGTCGTGGTAGCCTTAATTGTTTAACCTACTGCCTCGCACCGCCTAGTTTTTTTTTATTTATATGCGAAATTGTATTTGAAATTTACCATGAGCTTTTCGGTGAATGAAAACGTGATCGAACCTGCACACATCTGCAAAGCAATATGTGTGAATTATTAATGCAAACATCGAACACTTAGTAAAAATTCCTTCGATTCGGCAGGATTTCGAACCGACACAGACACAGACGCTATGCCAACTAAGCCACGGCACGAACTAGCGAACATTGGGATTTTTTCTGTGTTTGTTGCAGGTCCAATTTTTGGTTTTTAACGACTTTTTTGCCGGGGAATCCAGCTGGATCGGAGGAATTTTTTCTACGTATTCGATTTTTGTATTAATAATTATAACAAAATAGTGAAGTAATTTTACAAAAAAATAACTGAATATCATGGTGGTTAAACACTCTAACATTCAATTAATTAGACAATAAGTTGACGTATACAGATATGGCACAATAAAAGCTTAAATATTAGAAACTAAAACTTGGATAATTTAACTAATATGAATAAAATTGGGCCCCCGCGGCAAGGTGCCTAAGATGCTGGCAGCTAATAAAATGGGCAAGGTAGGTTTCCCAGACAGATGAAGAGCACCGGCGCCCCATGAGCCGAGGGTTTCGACTCCAAAGGCTGTAAATAGGTAATCGGAACCGAGGTCCGGATACTTATTACTAAATATTCGTTGGAAATGGGATGGGGCAAGTGTGTGAAGACACACCGGGCGTCCCACACCAGTGCCTGGCCCATACTCCAAAGTATGAGAGTCATTCCGTCCGGGCGTTTGCCATCAGGTCGCGAACTGATTAACTTAATTACAATGGGTTTGAAGTTCTCAATCCGCATTAGACTCGCGTCAGAACTAGCCCTCTCATCGTGGGTGGAGGCCAGGGATTATAAATAGGCTCACTATAATTATTTAATTATTAATACAAAGATCGAACACTCAGAAAAAATTCCTTCGATCCAGCCGGATTCGAACCGACGTCTTCACACGCTATATCAACTAAGCCACAGAACGAACCAGCGGACCTCACGAATTTTTCTATGTGCTTGCGTCGTATCTTTGTATTTGGTTTTTCAACGACTTTTTAGCTTATTATTATTTAGTACAGCACTCGTCTGCTATTTATGAAATACTGGATGCCAAACAAATGTAGCCGATTTACATCTGAAAAATAGTTCAATTTCCTTTGTGTAACAATCGCGAAAACCTAAGAACTCGATATGACTTTGTGAATGTTTATAGTACCAATTCTCTCGTCGACGATGAAGGAAAATTCGTGATAAGAAGAACCCTTTGAAGACGTGGAAAGTGTCCAATCCACATTGTGTCTGTATACTTAGAGTCCAGTAAAAACTAAATTTGTAATCACTTTCAAATTCAAAATTCAAACATAACAGTTTAAAACTTCAAATTCCAAATTCCAAATTTAATAATTCTTAACAAGAGAGTACCTGTATATTTTTTAAACTACTTTCACATCGACGGCAACGACGACGAAACTTGCGGTTTGAAATTGATGTCCCTTGGGAAATTGCGAGCTTCGAAACGGACCATGGATAATTCATTAGTTCAGTATTATCCCATAGTACATTTTAGTATTTTAAGAAGTAGTTTTTAACCGCAGGAATTTTGAGCTCGGATTTCAATCTCTCTTTTTGAAACAATAAACTTTTGTCCAAACTACTAAAATTCTTTGTATATAGAAGTCGTGCGGCTATGTAACACAGATGGTTAATTAAATACTTTAAATATTGTAGATAGAATTAGAATATTTAGAATATTTTGGTTTATGGACACATTATTTTATTAAAAAAAAAAATACTGCAATACTAATATAGTGCATTCAAATACTTTTAAAAAGTCCCTTGCCTCATTTAGCCTCATCTTTAGTAGCAGTAGAGCTCCTTGTGACAGACATATTTCTGCCGCCAAAGGTAAGGTGCTGGTGAAACTACAGGGACTTATCAACTTATATCTCAAAGTGACTGGCGCAATTACAGTGCCCCTAAAATCTTTACGATATAAAGCACTGAGTGGCACTGCAACTGTTATGGACAGGCGTGTCGCTTACCACCAGGTGCAAGACTGGTTCGTCCAGTCACTTGGTTAATTAAAAAAAAAATCTTGGAATTGAACTTACCAAATGTGAAAAAAAGAACACCCTGTATTTTTATGGTGGCGATCGAAAGGGTCAATCATAAGGATTATTTTCTTTTGAAATTGTGTCATGAAATTTGAATTATAATCAGTTTCTCTGTCTATATTCGTAGTGAAAAAGGGGGCTCCTGCCATTCGGAGAACAGCCATGTCTTTTAATGATTGTTTCCCTTTCTGTTGAACACCCTGTATAATTACCAGAGATCGGAACAAACAGAGATTATTTACCTAAACTTCAAGTGATATGTATGGAGTGAATAATACCTCCAGAAATGATTAAAAATAAAAGGCAAAAATCAAAACAAAATATTTATGATTTTTACTTATAATTACAAAACATGGCTACTAAATATTATCGTCAATGCTATACAATAATTCCGGCATTTCAGAGGAAGGTATCTGCTCTATACGTATTACTTTTTTAAAATTCAAGTAAATATATTCTATCTATTCCCATCTCTACATAATGCAAATATTAATAAAGATTTTAGAAGCCGCAAACACAGCTTTGCTTTTAGATTTTATATATTTTTATAAAATGACGCAATGATTTTTTGCTACACAGTGCAAACGAGTCTTGCTTATGATAATAATTAAGTTATACCGCCCCGAGTTGAAAACAAATAAAAAATATAGGTGATTTAAAAATAAACACGTAAACCTTTGTTGTTTCCGCGTTGCAAAACATCGTAACAGTTGGTTAGGTACTTATTTGATTAACTACGGGAAGTTAAAAAAAATGCAGTCGACTGTTGCATGTTCCGTGAGAAAAAAACAGGAAAAATAACCTAAAGACAATTATGGCTAATAGACAATAGAGGTCTAAAACAAGAACTCTTCAGAAAGCGTAACGAAGTTAACAGCGAGTTTATTGAAAAATCCTCGTGCCTCTTAAGTAATTGGATATAACAATCAGACTTTTACTCATAAAACGAAAATTCATTGTTATCTAACAATCATTGAAAGTAAAAATAGCAGACATAATATATAGTTCGTTTCTTGCACATAAAAGTAAAAACAGTATTTTTAATTATTGAAAAATAAAACAAACCTCTTTAGTCTCCGTTAATAAAAAATCCGAGCACAGACCACAGAGAAAAAAAAACACAAGTGTCAAATTCAAATTCGAAATTTCGAACACTCGCGGCGCGGTTTTACTGTGGGCGGTCAACGACCAATATGGAAAGGTCCGCGCCGCCTGGCCGACGCGACACGACTGAGAACAAGGCCCGTAGTGCGCGCCCGACTTGCTACCTACCCAATTTTCCGTGCAACCTGAAAACAATCGTTTGTTTGTATATTGGTAATTAATACAGAGAGCGCCTTGATTCTTTTAATGGTCATGATATCGCTTTTTAATTAGCACACGTTTGTTACCTACGAAAACTGCATTACGGGATCCAATATTTAACTTGCTGGTGTTAAATAGTTTTGTTGGTAAACCTCTTCGAATGTCATCAATGTGGCCTCGTGACAAGGTCATGCGAGTGATAATAAGATGAACAAGGTAATTCTTGACCAGAAACTAGTCGTTTATTTGTTGAGATAATCAAACTTTGTACATTTATGCACCTTTTAAGAAAAGGAATACAATGAATCGTTGAAATAAAACTAAATAAGTTGATATTGTTTTAAAGGCGATGTTATTGAATTTATGTAGCATATTCCTCAAACTTGTTATTGGAAGCATAATAATACTACAATGTTGTTTACTACAACAACATTTTTATTTAGCCAATAAAACTAGTTTTCCGGATTTAAATCGCCTATATTTGTTTTTTTTTTTTCAAACAAACCAACGTTTCGGGCCCTTTACAGATCCCATGGTCACGGTTGACTGAGGTGGTACAGTCATCAACCAGTTATGTCTAATATTAATGCAAACCACCCTATTTTTTCACTATAGTTACAAAAATTATTATCTTAATTAAATTGCTTTTGTTTTGATGTCCAACTGTTGTAGATTTTAAGACTTGGTTTTTCGCTGTCCTGTGAATTTATGACTATTTAATTATTATTATTCTTGTTATTTATTATTATTATTTCGAAGTATTGGACTAGTATAATTAATAATAATAGTATAATTCGTATGCCTTGATGGTACGTCATTGCGATCGTAAAATAAATGTTATCATCTTTATTGTACCCATGATGACTTATTAATTAAATACCTTATTTTTAAATTAACAAAGAAATATTCCATTTTACGCCATACATTTTTAATAAATTAAATTTATTATTAATTAATAATAAAAATTAGAATAAATTAAAACATATTAATTAGTACTGCAGTCTTATGTCTGTTTGGGATTTTTCATCAGAGGAAATACTGAATCCCAAACTGGTGGTACGGAGAAACCATCCTCCCTGTTGAAATTAGGATGCTGTTTAATTTCAATTCTGGGCAGATGACAGACTTCTTTTGCGAGGACCTGGGGTTTGTCAAGGTTTATCCATGACATTTTATTTTTCTGTAATTGCATTACCTGACTTTGTTTATAAAATACTAATAGTAGAAGAAAAGAATAGAAAAAGCCGTAGTAACCATTGACTTACAAATAAATGGACGATGGGTCTAATACAAAAACCACGAAAAAATGTCCCAAGTCAATCTATTTAAACGTAGTGACATGTAAAGGAATATGAAAAAGCTAAAACGTTGAATTTAAATTGTAATGTCATCGCAGTACTGTCTAATTTTGCTTGCTTCGCTGTCAGTCGAACAAACGAAGACTAAAGCGTGAATGACGCTCTGTATACGATTTTAACGCCCTATAAGTTTGGACACTTTTTAGCGCGGACCCGACGTCCATATAATTGTAAGTCAATGGTAGTAACCTATCGCCTTTTTAGCAGAGAGTTCGAATCCGGCTCCGGTCAGCTCGCAACTCTGAGTTTTTCTGAGTTTATGTGCGAAATTAATTTGAAACTTACCATGAGCTTGAGAAGGAAAACATCATCATGAAGCCTGCACGTCGAAAAAGTATCACAACCCTCGGAAAACGTGCGAAGTTCCCAATTCTATAGCTGAAACATTCGCCTGAGAGGAAACCCGTGCCCAGCAGTGAGTTAGTAGAACTCCTTGTGAAAGAGTTCGTCCATAGAAATACTGCCACCTTACCTATCTCTGCCGCCAAGCAGTAATGTTAGCATTTACTGCGTTCCGGATTGGAATGGTAAGAGTGCTGGCGAAATCATAGGCACATGAGACTTGTCAACTTATGTCTCAGTATGAATGATGATTTAAAGCTCTGAGTGTCGTTGCATCTGTAATGGAGAGGTGTGTAGCTTACTACCAGGCGCACCACCTGTTCGTCCTGTCACTTGGAATTATAAAAAAAATCTTACCTATTTCTGCCGCCAAGCAGTTAATGTCGTAAAGCAAAACGTAGATAATTTTCTTATATAATAAAAAAATATTTTTTTAATACAGAATGTTACATTACAATGGCTAATAAAAAAAATTACCACAAAATACTTCTCGTGCATCAGCAACAAAAAAGAGAATTTATTAATTTCATCTTTAGCATATTCTAAAATTTTTATTAAATCTCGAACCTGTTTTATCTAGCTCGGCCTGTTTTTTCTGTTTTGGTACATACGAAATATGCCAGCTACATAAAATTAATTCTACTGTGGATTTGGCATGACAAACATAATATTTTATAGGAGTTACGTGATTTGCGAGTTATGTTACACGTCACACTTTTATTCTTTTGTCACTGGCGCTAAAATGTTATTGTCTTTTTTTCTGACAACCTGACTGCAGTTTTTTTAATCTTTGTGTTCTGTGTTGTGTACAGCTGGGCAGTTTCATAGGTCTTGCGACACTTGTCGGTCCTGTGCTGATATATTCCCGCAAAAACTGACCACAGAGATCATTTCGCCGTATACAAGAAAACCATGACGTTGGCAGCTGGCTTATTAGTGTACATTTTTTGACTGTTTTTTAATATAAATTCTAAGCTTAAATTTGTAAATGACGATTTGAATTTTGGGCAATTCTTATGACAAGTGACATAGGGTTGAATTTAAGCCAAAACGCCAAGATTGACGTTGTGTATAAAAAAGGCCAAGTCAAAAATAACAAAGACAGGCGTGTATAAAATGACCAATGTAAATCGATGCAGGGATGCCACGAATGTAGTTATGCAAAGTTTGTATCCCATGTACAAATACATACTCTTGAATAAATTATAATGAATTTAAAAAAATCCATAGCTATGATAGACGAATCAGAATAGTGACACGATTTAAAGCAAATTTTCTTTTTTAAATGGCAAGATTTTGTCTCCTACAGCCTCTACACCGTACGACATAAAGATTATCAAATTGTTTATTTGTTAAATTAACTAACTTCAAATTACATACATTTTCTGCTGTTATTTAAATCGGGTTAAAGCTTTTATTACACTTGCCTGAGTAAAGAAAAACTTTCATAGATTTCTCACAGACGGCGCTCATAACTGCAACAAGTACATAGATAAATTAATTAGATCTGCTAATTTATTCCATAGCTCAGTTGGGTGAGCGATAGCCCCGGTATGGCGAGGTCGCCGGTTCGAGCCGGATCGAAGGTATTTCTCGTTCGTCTAGAGAAGTATGCCACCTTACCTATTACTGCCGCCAAGCAGTGATGTGAGCATTACTGCATTCCGGTTGAGAAGGGTACGGGTGCTCGTGAAATTACAGGCACATGGGTAGACTTATGTCTCAGGGTGACGGGCGCAGTGGCAATCTCTTGGCGATCTAAAGCTCAGAATGGTAGCTCAACTGTTATGCATAGGCGTGTTGCTTACCACCAGGTGAACGACTTGTGCGTCCTATTACTATGTATTATAAAAAAAATTCACTGCTGGAGACAAGCCTCCCCTTAAGCACGCCAACTCTCCCAATCATGTAGCGCCCGCATCCAACTGCTGCTGGCCACCTTTCTCAGGTCGTCTTGCCGTTTTCATTGACGTGGTCGCCATTCCAGAACAAGTCTGCTCCATCAACAACATCAACCCTCCTGCAGACATGTCCAACCAACTGCCACTTAAGCTTACTGATTTTGCGAGCTATGTCAGTCACTCTAGTTCTCTGACGTATGACCTCATTAGGGATTCTATCCATCAGCAAAACTTTACTTGCCTGATATTAAGCTTGAAGATTATAAAGGGGGTGCCTCTTGAAGTCAAAGTCAATGAATGATTTATTCCATAGGTAAAATAAATTTACATCTTGAAAACGTCACATTTAAGCTACTGCTCGTTCACTACACTGACTTCTCTAAGAAGAACGAGCAAGAAACTCCAGGGTTTGCTCTTTTAAAATAAACTTAAATGCTATGGAATACATTTTGAATCAGATTTGTGTGGAATGTAGAGTCATGTCGTCTTTCTGTACATCTTTATCTAACACGTAGTCATGAATTTTGTAATTTGACTTTACAATAAAAATAAATTAATGTTTTTAAACTTAGGAAATGATAATCGTAATATGCTCCGAAATGTTATTGTAAAAAGTATACAGTTCCCCATGAGTTTGGATTTAGCTCTAAGGTTTAATATTATGGATATCTTATTTCTTATTGAAATTATGTATATTTTTACGGGTATATAAAATATTTAGGCAAATGTACTCTGATCTCACAGAACGAATCGCTCGTTTTTGCATTACAAATATGGTTTGAATATTTGCCGCTATACCCCACATGAGAATCCCGTAGTACATTATACTGTGGAAGTAACTAAAAGCTTGAAGTAAGTAAGTTTTCAAATCTAGCCCACACGTGAACGTACATTAGAAATTAAAGAGGTACATGTCACCACGGGGACGCAAACCGTAGATCTCGCAATTGAGAAATAACCATTCTTACACTAATCACAAGCAGAAATTCAATCCCCTAATATCCTGGGAAAAATAACACCGTATGTTATAATAACCTCGAAATGTACACTAGAATAAAGTATACCACACAAGTTTACATCTAGAGAAAACTTCATCAAAGCAATACGGTTCATAAATGCTTGTATAAAATGACCTGACTACACGGGAGGAGTGTGAGAAGCCATCTCTATACGCGAAATGTTTATAAAACAAACGCTTGACCACGTACTTTCGTTTTCGAGTGTCAATTTCATAATACAGTGTGAGAAAAAGATATTCTTTCTCTATAGTAAGACACTTTAGGTTTTTTTCGGCAGTTTTCACAACCTAACTGTGTT